CATGGAAACTAAGTTCCTCGCCAACTTCTTCGACGACGACACCGAAATATCCATCGGAACGTTGCTTGATGAAAAACAAAAAGACGGGGAGTTGGTCGACACCTTCGTCAAAAGGTTCCGGAACAAGGCGATGAATTGTCGGGACCCGATCACTGAGGAGTTCATTCTCCAGACTTGCCACAACAACCTTGCACTGGACATGTTGGAAGCAATGGAAACAGCACTGTCTGACACTTGGAAAGACTTGAAGGTGCGCGGTGAACAAGCCGAACGCTTCCTCCGAAGGAAGAAGGCCGAGAGGAACCAACCGACGGTTAATCCGCTGAACTCAAACTTCACCTCTCGTGGTAAGGGCAAGGCACCTGCAGCTGCTGATGGTGCTAATCAAACGTCACAACGGCAATCCCGAAGGCAACAAAAGACTTCGGGTCCGAGACTCCAAAAAGAGTACTCTTTCAAGGACGAAGATGTTCCAGCCATCTTCGAATCCCTCCTTGAAAGTAACAAGATCAAGCTACCACCTATCACAAATCAGGAGGAAGATGACAACACGACGGATCCAAAGTACTGTGCATACCAAAGGAGGGTCCTTCATCCCACCAAGGATTGCTTCACTCTCAAGAATAGCATTCAGACCTTGGTTGCAGCCGGCGTCATAACGCTAAAGTAAGCCAGTTGAGAACTGCACACTCCGATAAGTATAAGAGTATAAACTGCTTCTTAGGACTCCAAAGAGTATACGAGTATAAACTGTTTCTTAATCCTCCAACAGGTGCAAGAGGTTAAACTGCTCCCTGCATACTCCAATAGGTATATGAGTCTAAACTATTTCCCACTTTTAACGGGAAGTTCCTGGAGAATATTACGTTAATATTCTTAAGGATAACCCGGTCAGGTAGCTAAGAATAATGTCCGAACCAGTTTTGCAAAGGAAGCTGGGGGTGGATGATTCATGTAACGGGAAGTTCCCAAAAGAAATCCATATAGTGTATTCTTAGGGATAATCCAGTCACCACAGCAAGATGATGAATAAGAAGCTCCCATTCAAATTCTCACCGCGTCTGTGCACTCAACACTCTCAATGAACGAAAGGTCCACAAATCGAGCGATCAAACCTTCCTACAGTTAGGATCGTCTCAAACCTCCCAATTGGTCAAACCTTCTTACAGTTAGGACCACAGCCGAAATCTCCTCTCGATTCCTTCCATGAACGAGAGGTCCACTTTCAAATTGAGTGATCAAACCTTACTACAGATAGGATCACCTCAAATTCCCGCTTGGTCAAACCTTCCTACAGTTAGGACCAAAACCACAATTCACTCTCGATAAACGAGAAATTCACCTTTAGTTCAGTAATCAAACCTTCTGACAGTTAGGGTTATCCGAAGTTTTCGATTCTCGGAGTGGAGGTCCCACTCCTAGTTTCATCATTCCGGATTCTGGGGATGGAGATCCCACCTCGAGTCTCCTTTCCAGCTGAAGATAGAATATAAAATTCTTCTTCTTCAGTGTCGGGAGATAGAATATAAAATTCTTCCTCTCCCATTTCGGGTTCGTCTTTGCCCCAAGAGAAGACACCACCTTTTTCAACTCCCAAAATCTGTGCCTCACAGGTACTAGGAAGTTTATCCCGAATCCTAAGCAGGGATAAGTCTGCGCCTAACACGCGCTGCCGGTTTAGTCTTTTTTCGTAGAAAAAAAAAGACACCAGAGTTCGATTCTGGGGTATTCTATCCTGAAACCTAAGCAGGGATAAGTCTGCGCCTAACCCGCGCTGCCGGTTAGTTCTTAACCGTTAAAAAGAACACTCGTCCGCATATTCAACATTGTTGCAGGTTGTTATTAATAACACCATAATCCATACCTTACACGCATGGGGAATTTCATCCTGAATCCTAAGAAAGGATATGCCGATGCCTAACACGCGTCGCCGGTTTAGTCTTTCTCCGAAGAAAAAGACACCAGAGTCGCCGGTTTAGTCTTTTACCGATTGAAAAAGACACCAGAATACCAGTCTGGGGTATTTTATCCCGAAGCCTAAGTAGGGATAAGTCAGCATCTAACACACGTTGTCGGGTAGCCTGTTCCCGTAACAATGGTGAAGTCTACGTATTCGAAGTCGTAGCATCAAGACTAAGGGAGTTCATTCCTTTAGCACAACGTCACATGCGAAACGGATTTAGACAATCCGTATGCTAGCCTGACTCAAACGGTAGTCGGTAAAGGCTTATCAAATCCGTTGAAGGCTGGGGGTTAGCCAAAAACCATAAAGTCAACGCCTAACACGCGTCGCCGGGTAGTCTATCCCCGTGAGAAAGACGAAGTCTATGTATTCAATATCGTAGCACTAAGAGCGTTAACTCTCTTAGCCAACAATCCGCATGTAAGCCCGATTCAAACGGTAGTCGGTAAGAGCACGTCAAATCCGTTGAAGGCTGAGGATTTGCCAAAAATCCTAAGTCAACGTCTCATACACGTTGTTGTTTAGTCTTTTCACAGGAGAAAGACGAAGTCTACGTATTCAAGATCGTAGCACTAAAAGGGTTAACTCTTTTAGCTTAAGCGGAACGGATTTAGATAATCCGCATGCTAGCCTGACTCAAACGGTAGTCGGTAAAGGCTCATCAAACCCGTTGATGGCTGAGGGTTTGCCAAAAATCCTATAAATACGAGAGTCACTGATGCATCAGCTTCATTAGTTGGTCTCGTGATTTGAGCATCCAACGACATTCGAAACCCTAGGGTCAACGCCGGTCAACGCGTAACCCTAGGTCAACGCCAGTCAACGCGTTACGATCAAAGAGTCAACGTACGACGTTCAAAACCCTAAGGTCAACGCCGGACAACGCGTAACTCTAGGTCAACGCCAGTCAACGCGTTGCGATCAAACAGTCAACGCGTAACCCTAGGTCAACGCCGATCAATACGTTGCAACGAAAGAATCAATACTCCGAAAAGTATACGAGTATAAACTGCTTCTTAATACTCCAATAAGGTATATGAGTATAAATTGTTCCCTATTTTTGGTTGAGAAGTTCCTGGAGAATATTTTTATAAATATTCTTAAGGATAACTCAACAACACTACACCGGACAACGCGTCGCAAATAAAGACTCAACGTCAACAATCGACGGTCAGCTAAAGATTAGAAAATCAGGAATCGACTTCAAGTTTAAAATTCCGACAATGGTCAGACAATAAATGCAGCACCGGAACTCTTACAGACATTCGACAAAGCACCGAATAGCCTGGAGGATTGAAGGAATCAAGAACAGAAGCCATTCCAAGGTCCCGTTACACCGACTGAAGGTTAGGACAATCATATCCAAAGTATTCTAGACTCTTCTATAAAAGAACGAGGCTGAAATACTTTGGAGGGGGTATCTGTAGGCGTATAAAATTGCTTATAGGTCCCTTAGCACAGCTCGGCACAAACCGACGAACCAACGAGGCGACGAGGTTAACGAATCGCACGCAAGCAACGGAATACATCCACTCACATGCGGAATCAAGCCAAGGGTTCGAAGAGTCAACGAGTCATCCAACCAAGGGCAGACTCGGACGAATCACGATCGAATCAAGATCAGTTTCGGACTCGAACTCAGAAGTGGATTTACTGCCAAATCAGGAATCAGATTTACTACAAAATCAGGTCAACGAATCAGAGTCTAAATCAACCACACAACCGAAAAACGGATACAGCAAAACGACGAAACCCAACACCAAGGGGGGGCTCGGCCGAAACCGAGCCACCTCAAGGTGGCTCGGTGTGTCGGCCACTTATGCGCGGGCACAGTAAAGATGGCCTATAAATATGAGAGGTGGTTCATTTGTTCAAAGGTTGGATTTTTTGGAGGCGAAGCCCTGCTGGATTGAAGACTCAGATCTGAAAAAGATTCAAGCTTTAGGACTTCGAGGACTTGCTCATCCAGATCCGGTGCTCGGCGATCGTCAACGCCAAATAAGGCAAGATTTCGAGAGGACCGGATCTCAGATCTACGCAGGCGTACTCCGGATCAAAACTTGGTCTTTGATCCCAAGAATTAAAGGCTACTATTTCCTTAGCGAAATAGTACCATCGGCTATTATTTCCTTGGCGAAATAATACCCGTCGTACTGCGTAGATCCGACCGGCGAAATAATACCCGTCGTACTGCGTAGATCCGACCGAATCTAGATCTCGCGGTGGTCCACGGATAAACTCCGGCGCAGGCAAAGAACCCACACAAGCGAGCGACCGCAAAACAGGAGCTCGTGATTCGTTCGACAAACAAGGATAAAAAGTTGTAATCTTTCTTTTCTTTTATTTGATTTTCATTGTAACCGGATCTTATAAAAAGACCGGATCTTTGTAACTCAAAAAGCTGTTATTTAAGATGATAATGGAATCAACAATGAAGAAAGACACGATTTTTCCCGTGAACAGAGGACAGTTGTAGATTCGTGTGTATATTTCAGGAGGATTTCAGATTCTAGTTTCATTATCCTTTTGCTTTGTGTGGACGATATGTTGATTGTTGGTCAGGATAGTCAAATAATCAGTGGGCTGAAGAAGGAGTTATTTAAATCTTTTGACATGAAGGATTTAGGCTCGGCACAGCGGATTCTTAGTATGGATATTGCTCGTGACAGGAAAGTCAGGAAGTTGTGGTTATCACAGGAAAAATATGTTGAACGGTTACTTGATAGATTCAACATGAAAGATGTCAAGCCAGTCAGTACTCCTCTTGCAGGTCATTTGAATCTTAGCAAGAAATTTTGCCAGACTATAGATGAGGAAAAGAGTGAGATGGAGAATATTCCTTACTCTTCAGCTGTAGGGAGTTTGATGTATGTCATGGTTTGAACTCGGCCAGATATAGCTCATGCAGTTGGCGTTGTGAGTAGATTTCTTTCTAATCCAGGGAAAATTCATTGGGAATTTGTAAAGTAGATCTTAAAATATTTAAAAGATAGTTCCAGATTGTGTTTGAGTTTTGGAAGTTCAAAGACAGTATTACATGGTTTTTACAGATGCGGATATGGCAGGTGATCTCGATCACAGGAAGTCTACCTCAAGTTGGTTGTTCACTTTTGCATGGGGAGTAGTATCTTGGCAGTCTAGGTTGCAGAAGCGTGTTGCTTTATCTACAACAGAGGAAGAATATATTGCATCTGCAGAAGCCTGTAAAGAAATGATTTGGTTGAGAAGATTTCTGCAGGAGTTAGGCTTACAGTAGAACAATTATCAAATCTTTATTGATAGTCAAAATGCTCTTGATTTGATAAAGAATTCTACATTCCATTCCAGGATAAAACACATTGATGTGAGATATCATTGGCTTAGAGAAGCTGTTGAGAAAGAGGAACTGATGTTACAGAAGATTCACACAGATGAAAAACCAGCAGGTTTTAACGAATACCGTTTTCAGATAGAAGACCGAGTTATGTCGGCGATTGGCCGGCATGAACTCCCGTTGAGGAGTTAAAGATTGGTATATCCCCTGTTAGATATAGGTGCCCTGCAGGCAATTATTGTATATTGTAACAGGACCTATATGTATATAACATCCTTGTTCAAAATGATAGTATGCTATTTTGGTCAGATTTATCTGATGTTCTAAAAATACAGATAAAGACCTTAGAGTGATACTAGACTATCAGACATTTCGGATATGATCGTAATGAAGAGATCTGATTTATCGCTAACGTATATTCTAAAATGTTCCTAGTCGATGAGGTGTTGAAATGGGACATCATCACTTTGGTTAGACTAGTGTATACTTTATTTCTTCTTTGGAAGGACGATGATCCATCTCTTAGATCATTGATGTGAGACATCAAGATATAGTATATAGGTGACTCATTAGTGAATGAGTTGACTGAACGACTCACTGAGAACATCTAGTTGGTAATTATACTTAACTGTCAAATAGAAGTTCTCAAGTGATATAGTACATAGTAGTCTCTTGACCTGAGGCATGAGTGCAATATCTTATATGTCAGTAAAGATGTATTTAGACTTTTACCTAACCACAGTTCTTATTGAATTGTGCATAACGGTTCTTGTTGGGTACATCCCGAGACATAAGTAGATATTGAGTGGTCCTGATAAAATTGTGTAAGCATCTTGCAGACATTTATCATAACTTATACCCGGGTAGTTTTCATGTGTAGCTAGCACCTCTGTTGTACTTGTGGATATGATCCACTGCCGAGTCTTAAAGTTGGGCCCTAGAGTCACACCAAGCGCGTACTTGAATCCTATGAAATATAAATTTATAGAGTAATGTGTATGATTGATACACATACACGATTTTCATCGAATACACATAAACGGTTATATGTATCGATAAAATCAAAATGCTATGTGCTTAAGAAATGAATTCCATTATTTTTCCCATAAAATTAACTTTTAGTCAACTTGTTGACTTTTTGGTCAACATTTGACTTTTGGTCAACTCATTGATTTTTTGGTCATATGATGACTTATTAATTAATGATTGGAAAATTATGAAATACCGTATTGATGTGGTATTTTCATTTATGAAATACGAACTTCATTATACCTTGATTAATGAGTCATGAGATGAGTCATTAAGGTGGTATGGTTTGGGAACATGGTTTTAGCACATAGTTTTGATTCTTCATGATTCATTGCATGACACATCTCAGATGAGTCAATGCATGAATCATGAAAGAATCATTGTTTTGATGACTCATGGTGTGACTCATAGGATGAGTCATTCATGTCATGACATATTCTTCCTCTATAAATATGAGCTCTCTTTCTTCTTTCATGGTTAATGGAAAAATGAAATAAAGGGTTTATTCATAGTTGCTTTCCATAAAAGAAAAAGAAGAGAGATCTACCTCTTACTAAACTCTAGCAATCTTTGAGTAAGATGAAGTAGTAGGATTTTAAAGTACCCCGGGGTGGATATCTTACCTTGTGTCTCAAGAAAACTCCAATTTTATTAAGCTCACTTGAAGACTTGGAGATCCACTACGAGGAGATTTACTACTACAAGGAGCAAGAGTTAGGGGTTGTTCGATCTTCCATCGAATCACGCTTCAAAAGTATGACTTTATAACCCTTGTATGCTCTCTTTAATATAGGGATTATGTTAGATTTAATTAGGATCGTCCTATTATGTATTTCATACTCTCTACATGCTTAGTATTTTTGTACATACATGTCTTCCGCTGTGTATTATGCATGTAGACATAGCACGATTTCCTTCATCCCCTTCTTGGGATGGAGGGGGAGATTGTTGTAGGTCCAACCCAAGATAAGGCCCATATGAGAAGATCTACATGAATTAAAATTCTATCTATAAGAAGTCTACATGGATTAGAACTCTATTTAGAAGAGGATTTGGATGATCTATTTGAAATAGGAATAGGTTTGGAGAATTCTCTTTAAAAGAACCCTGAAATCAATATTTAGAGGAATAATTTTTGGGTGAACAGTAATCGGCCGTGAACAGTAATCGGCCGTGAACAGTAATCGCTGCAGTGTCGAGAGGAGAGAGAAAAGAGAGAGAAGAAGAGAAAGAGAAAATTTCAGATTGCGGATAGCTCGGGTGTCCGATTGTAGTGATTCAAAATCCGTTGTCTTCAGAACGACGACGCCGTCGAGGGTATGATACTGATTTCTCTATGGGAGTTGGAGATTTTTGGTAAGACGGGTTTTAGGGTTTTGATGCTCTAGATGTAACACTGTATATTTCTCTCGTGATTTAATCCTCAAGTTCAGGTGTAACTTGGAGGGATTGTACTCTTGATTCATAGTAAAATATTTCTTTTTGGATTGCCCCGTGGACGTAGGCACGATTTGCCGAACTATGTTAAATATTGGCGTTTGTTTGCTTGTGATATTTTTCATTGGTGTCGTTATTCGTTTAGTATTTAATTCCGTAGAATAATCTCCTTAAAATCCCCAACAAGACCCGGATGATATTGCATCCGGATCTAGCAGTATCACTTCAAATGGCAAGAACAAGCTGGAGTTAGGCTTATTAAAACACATGCGACAACTCAAACACCCTAAGGGCATGTTAGTTTGCCAATTTTTAGTGTGTAATACTGTAGATGTCAGGTGCTACAATATTACACCCAACTCCTCTGTTTGGCTTGTTCAAATAAGTACGGTTACTGTAGTTGAGTTGGCAGCCCCTCAACTTTTCTCAACAAAAAATAGTAAATTTGGATTTATTTACTATAGCTATCTAATAGAATTGGACCATTCACTTTTATGTTACTGTAATTACTACGCGCTTTTACATAAAGCAACCAAACATACCCTAAACACAAGTCAAAGCACATTTCCTTTGGATACCTCATTTATCCCTTCTGTTTGTATCTGATAAAGGACCCACCATTCTCCCGGGACCCACTAATCTGGGGAAATGAAAAAAAGTTAAATAAGAATGTCATTTAGAGACTATAAAGTAGGGTTAGTTGAGAATAAACCCCTCTAGTATAGCTTAATTCCGGATAGCCCGCACCTAGTTCTGGTTGTGGGGATAAACAAAGTGAAATTTTCTTACTTCTAAAAATAGTCAAAATAAAATTATAGAGACAGATAAAGCCCTCAACTCTATTGGTGCAGGTATACCCTTAAATGCTAATTTTTGACTTTAAAACAGTGAAAAAAGTTCAGCAAGATCTATTCACACACAAATAGAATTCCAGAGAGTCTATTCTTCATTACCCATATTACACTGCGTTAATAAATCAACACAAAGAGAAGAATCAATCCAAACAAAACACTAGGTTTGGACAGAAAATGTGGACTTCCATACCGTTAAAGCCATATCTAAATTGTTCGTGTGAAAACTAAATAATCCGATAATAGAAGGGTTACTATATTCAAATTCAAAAAATATCGTGAATACTTGAAAATTATTAACAACATAACCATATGATTTTAAAAGTACATTTTTCATAGTAATTCACTACATATTTTTCATAGTAATTCACTACATATCCCTACACTAGGCATAGTATAAAGTGGCTACGTAAGATTTCAATTAGGCAATAATTGGAAAGAGTCTAATTACTCTAATCTTAAGCATATTTTAATTTAAAGTTGGTTGGTACATGACCATGTAAAATTCCATAGTTACTGAGAAAATTGCTATCATCTTAAAAATCACTATTACAATAGTCATTTTTTGAGATAGTGAAAAATTCTATGTCGTCTCATCTTATCTCTTTATATAGAAATAATACTCTCTTTAAAAGTACAAGTTTGAGAAAAGCTTTCTACGGTCAATACTATATTTCACTATTTTGAATATTTTATTTAAATCCTAATTTATCCTAATCATAAGTATATATTATCCTAATCCCATATGAACTATCTACAAGTCAACATTAATTTTAAAAAAAATAAGTTTAATAAAATACATGAAACATCTCCACAATATTAGTTTGTTAAGGTAATGAACTAACAATGTAGAAGCATAAAATTTTCAAATAAAAATAACAAACATGAAATCAAAAAATTAACAACAATCTCTGAAAAACTTAAAATATACAATTAATACCCTTAACGTTTTAAAAATTATAGAAATACCCTCAAAAGTTCAAATAATAAAGCATCTTGAAATTCTGGAATTTTAAAACTTGCAAGAAACAAAGATGAATTCAAAGATTATCATCACATACTTGAAAATTTAAAAGTTGTAAACAATGAACTCAAAGTTATAAAAGTTGCCAAAAAAACTCCTTCAAACGTTAAAAATCACAAAAAAAAACTCTAAAATTTCAAAACATATAACTAGTATATATCAAATCTACAAATTATCAGTAGACCTTTAAAAAATTAATTTTTATAAAAAATAATCTGAAGTTTAATAATTGCCATAACACCCTCAAAATTTTACAGTTGCAAGAAATATCCTACCATTCAAAAACTTACTGCCACCATAAGAAACATGGAAATTACAAGCACCAAACTTAAAATTTAAAATTAAAAAAAAATACTATAAAAGTTTTAAAATTTGCAAAATATACCCTCAAAAATTCAAAATCACAAAAGAACAAAAACGACTAAAATTTTAAAACATAGCAAAGAAAAGAGTAGTCGTTTGATATCCTTTTATTATCATCTATAAATTTAACTTAAAATTAAAGATTTACTATCCCTTTTCCAGCATCTAAATGTAGTCTTATTTTATTTAAAAATATAAAGGTGGAGAATGATTGATGTCGACTCAATAAAAAATAAAACAGAAGGAGTAAAAAATACTTTTTTTGAAATATTTTATAAAATAGTTTATTTTTTAAGTAAATTAGGAATCTTTAGAAGAGATTTTCATGAATTTTTTTTAGTATTTTTATATGCTTATGTGGACGCTTTTATCATATAAAAGTGTACTAGAATTAACATTAGTCTTTAATTTATAATTTCTTTAAAGTTCATTAAGGACTAGGAACAAACTTCATATTTATTTTTGTATCGTTTTAGCCCACTTTTAATCAATCACTTGTCTTATTAGCTTTAATTTATCATCTTTCTTTTATAATGCTACTTTTTCAATTATTTTTCACTTTTGCAAATACCGTACTTTCTCGGGTCAAGCTTGATTTTATGTCGGTTCAAATAACATAATAATTCAAATTGGTTTCAAATTATATTTATTTTCTATCAATTCAATTATTAATAAGAAAATTTAAATTGGGTGTAGCTCATTTAAACGAACATTAAAGAAAATAAATAATCACAATGGTAAAGTTTAGAGACATAAGTGAGCAAAAACCATCAGGGTGAACAGATGAATGAAGTTTAGTAAGGAAATAAACCAAAAATACATAATCATGGTATTTAACCACGTGCATTGCACGTGCGTCGAACCTAATGAATGATAAAAAATAGACTAACTTCATATTCTTATTGTTACCATCTAGTTGAAAAGGATATTGATGCAAAGATTTATATGTATGATTAGCATTATCTTAAGCGCGTCTCCAATGAAGCGCCAAAACTCCATTTTAGAGTGTTCCGCTAAAATAGCGGGATGCTACAGTGTTGCGCCAGAAATGGCGCAACATTGTAGCATTGGCACAATTATTATTATTATTATTTTGTGAAAACTTTTTAATGGAAGATCTTATAAGAAGAAATACAGAAACAAACTTTTTTGTCTTTTGTTATTTATATTTGTATTAATAATATATATTATTTTATATTAACTATTATAATAAAATTAGAGTATAAAATAATTATTTTAAAATAAAATTCAACAATAAAAAATAGATAATTTAATCCAAACACTTAAAATTTCATAATACTAGAACCAAATGAAGAAATAAGAAAAACTACACCATTTATATTAAAAAAATACAACATAAACATTATGACATAAAAAATTACACATAAATTAGGACATTAAAAATTACCACTAATTGCAATACATTAAAATTAAAAAAAAATAGAACATGCTACATAAACTAAAACAACAATTCAGTATATGTAATGTATTTGTGTTTTATTTTATGTTAAATGTAATGCATTTTATTTTTTTGCTTGCAAGTGTGATGTTTTCTTTTGTGATGTTAAATGTAATCTTTAGTTTAATTTATAAAAGTAATATTTTAATTTGATTTAGTATTTAATTTTTATATTTTATTTTATTCATAAAATATATTATTATAATTAAGTATATGTAATGTATTATATAATTATGTAATTTGTTAAATATTTTAAATAGATAAAAATGTTAAAAGATAACAATAATAAAATGAATATTTTTTTGGTGTAACATTTAGTGTAATGGGTTGGAGATGAAATAGTAGTTTGGCGTAAAAACTACACCAACCTGATGTAAAAACTACAACATCTTGGATTTTTGAGTTGGAGATGCTCTTAAATCAGCATCATTATTGGCAAATTAATTTGAAATAAAGCGTGTGATCTCTTGGCTCAGTTCGAACGAAACAGCTGCATCAAAAGTGGTGCCGGCTAAAAACTTCAAGCAAGAGCCTCGTATACACCTTTACCTTACTTAGCCAGCTGGCTCCTACGCAGCAAACCCACCACTCTTTTACGCGTACCGTACGTGCGGCTGCCATCTCTCTCTCTATAGACTACTAGGGAGCGAAGTGAAAGAAGTAGGCCTTTTTCTGGGGAAAAAAAATTATTGGGTTACGGGTCTGACCACAGCCTGTCGGAATGGGACCCATTAAGTCCTTTTATACGGATGTTGGATATAAATCATCAAATCCAAATAAATCTCGACCGTAAATATTCAAATTAACGGCGGATATAGCGTGAGTTGTGTAGAAATTAATACGCGATATGTACTCTTCAGTGGCAGGAATGCCGGTCCTCGTCGCCTTTGCCCGGTTCATCTACAGCTGGCAGTGTCCTTGCCTGACGGGTCTCGATTATTGCAACATCCCCGCGCTTATCCAAACTCCAAAAAAAACAAAAAACCAAAACCAAAGTTTTTTTTTTGACTCACCAGTGTCTTCGCACGTAACTTTAGCGATTAGCTTAGTGGGTGTTTTTTTCAAATACTATCGTCATCAGATTTGAAATCCATATATGTTTTGTTATGGGTTGGGATTTCTAAAATTTTATTTGTTTCATTAATATTTTAGGATTTAAAATACTACAATTTGTTTCAAATTCAAATTGTAACATTACCAAATGTCAAAATTTTGTAATATGCTATCTTGGTAAGGTTACCTCCCACAAAAAGATAAAATTAGGATTTGTCAAATCCTCTCCAATTGAGAGGTAAGCACCCCTATTTTATGAGATTTGTCAAAATCCTCTCTAATTGAGAGAATTTGACGAATTCTAAAAGTTAGGCACTTTTTGCACTTTTGAGATTTAATATTGTAAACATTTTCTTAAAACAAACACCATATATGGAATCACAAAACACAAAAAAACTAACTTTTTTTATCCCAATTCATTCCAAAGACCAAAATTTTTGGTGAAAGAAACACCCTCTTAGCTCCTCAATCTATTTTCCCTCACTAATTTTATAGTTAATGGTGTATTTCTGAGTTTTGGCGTGAAGAAATTGACGTCCATCTTTTAAAAGGGAACGCACGAGCTTGAGAGATTGGCGTTAGATCATCCAAAGAGCAATCCCCCCCACATACACATCTTTCAATTGGTGGTCCTTCGTCAGTGCCATCCCATTAATAATAAGTGCATCCCCATCAACTGGACTTAAGCGTCCATTCCATGAAAATGAGCCCCTAACGGTCATCGGAATTGTTTTTTTTGGGCGGGGCGGGCGGGGTGGGGGTTAATAAGAACTGAATAATTGTTTTTGGACCCCCTCTGAATTTGTCGACTCACTAAGAAAATCCCCACCGCTATTGTTTCATCATAAAAACAACCTTGCTGTAAAAAGAAAGAACAAATTTTCAAAAACTAAAACCCATCTATAGTCCAAAACTATCCTGTTCTTCTTCATCTTTAACATGCTCCCTCTTTTCGTCAAAGGCAAGGCATAAATTAAAATGGAAAAAAAAATGAAGGTTATGCTAAATAGAAGCTAAATCAAAGCGTTAAAAGAGATTATCTTGATCTTCTAATATTACTTTCCTCTTTGTTTACGGTCATATTTACTTCGGTTTAATATGAGGAGAGGAAATGAGTTTTCTCTGTAGCTTGAGAGAGAGGAGCAATATTATTGAGGGGTATTTTAGACAAATTGGTAAAAGTTGAATGGGTTTTAACGGTTTTTTCTTTGACAGCGGGCGGATGATGATGGAAATAAATAACTCAATGAGGTTCAATAATAAACTGTCATCCCGGAAGAGGGATTCGCAGTAATTTCATATAAAAAAATATTAAACTCGATGTGAGGCCCCACGCGTAGTTTCACCAGAAAACTAAATAGACTCCACGACAAGCCAAGGCGATATCGTCATTAACAGTGGAAGGCTATTGGGTCTCTGAGACAAAGTTCGTCTCTCCATTAACAATAACAAAATAATTAGCTTAATTTAATAACAATCCACTGACCAAATCCTCACACTCGCGTTTCCCGCCGCCTTCTGCCCTCTCAGGCTCAGCAATTAGACCCCCTTTATTAAACCCCCCACTCCTCCTCCTCTTTCTCTCTCCTCTGTATGAAAGCTCTCAAGAACTAGAGAGAGAAAATCTCTCTCCCCCTCTCTCTCTCTCTCTCAAGAACTAGAGAGAGAAAGCTTCAAAGGAAAAAGAAGCCGGAAAAGAACCCACCAACTCGTGCAATGGCGAAATCAAAACCCAAGCATCTCTCCTACATCTCCGTCCCCTCCCCGATCATCCCACTCCACAACCTCCTCATCTCCCCCAAGAAGTCATCGCGTCCGTCACCGCCTCTTCCGATCACCGAAGCTCTACCTCCCTCCTCATCCTCTCTTCCTCTACGGCTCTTGATCATCGAGCTCAAGCTCGACCCCGTCCGCTTCTCCCCGATCCCTGCTCAAAACCCCAAATTTCGTCGTCGTCTGCGGTAACGCTACCGGTCGCCGGGCTCGAAGAAGAACCGGAGGGGGAGTTTTGGAGGCAGCCAGAGGGGTACGGTTACCGACCGTGCTTGGGTTTCAGCGCGGTGTATCGACAAGCGAGCAAAGGGATGATGGGGGATCGGAGGAAGTATTTGATGGTGGTGGTGTCGGGAGGGATGAATCAGCAGAGGAATCAGATTGTTGACGCGGTGGTGATCGCGAGGATCTTGGGGGCTGCGCTCGTGGTGCCGATCCTGCAAGTGAATGTGATTTGGGGAGATGAGAGGTATAATTATTGTTTGCCATTTTCTGTTGCTATTTTTTGGAGAGCAGTTGGATTTTTCTTTTCTACCCGATAGGCGAACTAGTTTCGTTAAAAGATTGTTTTTTTTTCCAATGAAAAAATGGTTTTCCTTTGGGAAGGGATTTTATGTTTTCCTATCTCGGAGCTGTAGTTAATGATGAATTTTAGGCTCGTTTGTTTCTTCGTTTGTTTTGTTGGAGCATGCTCTTGTTTGGGGCTAACTCATTCATCTAGCCTTTGGATTCTTGATTTTCTAGCTTTTGAAATATTTTCTGATTAACCTACTTTAAGATAGATTGTCCATTTTTATGGGCTTTTCATCTAAATGTTATTTTTGAAATTTAAGATGGAACAGAGTTCCCAGTTGTTGAATCATTAGAGGAGAGATAAATGTTTGTTTTCAGTGGAAGTACGTTTCATTAGCGCCTGTTCCAATCTGGGGCTTCCATGATCTTTAGATAGCTTCTCCAACAACCATTAATAATTGTTGCTTTCTGAAGATATAGTGGTTCTCAATCGAAGTTATCTAATTGTTGCAAGCATAAATCTTGAAACTTTACTCATCTTTATATGGTGTACTTCAGGGGGAAAGGAGGAAAACGTTTTCCTAGTGTTTTGATGATTAGTAGTCGCTAACACTTGAGGTTGGGGGCGGGGGGGGGGGGGGGGGTTCGTTGGGAAATTTCAGCATTCTTTCTAGTTATGTGGGATGCTGAGTAATGAAGTATATCATTGCCTTGTTAAATTTGCGTCAGGAGTATTGCCTTCTGTTTCCAAGTAATTGATGTATTTTTTTCCCTCAACAAGTTATGATTGCGTTGTTGAGTATCACTCCTTTCGTGTTTGTTCGTTATGAAATCTAATATCTTTGTCATATGCTTTTGGCAGTGAGTTCTCTGATATATTTGACTTGGAACATTTCAAAAGGGTGCTTGCTGATGACGTTAGAGTAGTATCTTCTCTGCCTTCAACCCATCTGATGTCAAGGCCAGTGGAGGAGAAGAGAACACCTCTCCATGTATCTCCTCGTTGGATTCGCTCTAAATACTTGAAGAGGGTAAGTCTCACTTGAGTTATTACGTTTTGCTTCTGATCTTACTGTATCTGAATCATGTTTGGATATTTATCATAAAATACGTGCAATGTCTTTTTAGGAGAAGTCTAACACATATATGCCTATTGAGCCAACAATCTATGCCACCTCTAAAATGCTGATGCAACCTGTGATGCTGCCTAATCGTTTTTGATGTTTTAGTGTTTGCTTTTCCTACCTGCTCACTGGCATCTTTGGTTTTAATATTAAGTCCCTGTCTAGCCATCGTTGTCTCAGTTCTAAAAATTAGGCACCTAGGCTGAATTGTTGCTATAATTGGTGGAATGAGGGATTGATTAGGTCAACTTATTTTGAGAATGTTTTACCTAAAACGATTGCAGTTATTGTATAGCATTACCAATTTAGTATAAATGACATTCTTATTAAAAATATGGGCTCTAGGACCTTTTCAAAAGTCAATAATATGGAGGATGTCATTGGTTCTATCATCGCGATCGTCTTGTTGTAACTCTTGTTTGTGTAATTCTTGAGATAAAGAACAACAATAGATTTCTTTAACGTCTTCGTACTGAAGTTTTAGAATGGATAAACTGTTGGAACTTGGAACTCATAATTTTCCCGTTCTTATCTGCAGCTTAACAAGGAAGGAGTTCTACTTCTTCGAGGTTTGGACTCCAGGCTCTCAAAGGACCTCCCTCTGGATCTGCAGAAGCTCAGATGCAAGGTAATACCCATCTTCCACATGAAGTTCCTTGATTTGAAATCACTTATCCAGCCAAAAATTGCTTCCATTTGCACTTGGTGATGCAAAAGTTCTTCATGACTTTATGTAGGTTGCTTTCCAAGCTTTGAAGTTTGCAGCCCCCATACAAGAATTGGGAGAAAAGTTTGCAATGAGGATGCGAAGCAAGGGCCCATACCTTGCGCTACATTTGAGAATGGAGAAGGATGTCTGGGTTAGAACAGGTTGTCTCCCTGGGCTTAGCCATGAGTACGACGTAATCATCCATGAAGAGAGGAAGCTCAAACCAGAGCTCCTAACAGCTAGATCCAACATGACCTATCATGAACGCAAGCTTGCTGGACTCTGCCCATTGAATGCAGTGGAAGTCACTAGGTACATACCTAACTCTATTCTATGAAATGTAAATTTAAAACAATTGTTCTTCCTCTGTTACTTGCTGAATTATTCAACGATTTTGTTCAGGCTGCTAAAAGCTCTGGAAGCCCCTAAAGATGCAAGGATATACTGGGCCGGTGGAGAACCATTTGGTGGCCCAGCTGCACTTCAGCCACTAACCATGGAGTTCCCCAACTTCTACAACAAAGAGAATCTGTCATTGCCGGGAGAATTGGAACCATTTGCCAAAAAAGCTTCTTCTCTAGCTGCAATAGATTACATAGTCTGTGAGAAAAGCAACGTATTCATGCCTTCTCATGGAGGGAACATGGGTCATATGATTCAAGGTCACCGAGCATTTGGAGGTCACAAGAAGTTCATAACTCCTAACAAGAGGCAGATGCTGCCCTATTTTCTTGATGACTCTCTTCCAGAATCTGAGTTCAATAGAATCGTGAAGGAGTTGCATCAGGGTTCTCTAGGACAGCCGGAGATCAGAAAGGTTGGAAGGGACGTCACTGCTTACCCTGTTCCTGAATGCATGTGCAATTCTACTGACACCATATCAGCAGTATAAAGGATTGACCTGAACAATGTGGGATTTGTTTTATGAAGCGGGGTGATCGAATTGGATCACTCACCAGAGGCTCTCAAGCTTAGAAAGAGTATGAAATTATGATTGTGAAGCTGCTCCTGGGCCGCTGGCAGCTGAAATTTTGAGCTTCCGAGTGGTAGCTATGAATATATGCGGAGACATTCAATGAAGGGCCAACACGATCACATATGAACGGTGGAACTGTTGCATATACCCGAGATTCCTACTATTTCTTATACTTGCATTGTTGTATCTAATTCTTTTTAACTTTCCTACATAGGATTATTCTTTTGAACAGATTCCTTGTATCTGTATGATATGTGTATCCCACACTACGAATGTATATAATATACTTCATTTTTGAATGTAAGATGAGACATTATTGATGCAGTTTATTTCTCTTGCTCTTTGATGGACGTTTTTCTCGCATTTTGTTCCCCTAATACTAATTGAAGACGGGTTAGTTTTGTTGTACAAGCTACCTCGTGCAGAATTTACCTAATACTTGTTGGTACTTGGTAATCCATAAAGCAAGGTTAAAGAGTATTCGTGTAAAAATTTGCTTTATAATCTTTTTTATAATCTTTCATTATTTTAGAGTTCAACCAGTATGCAACAGCGCGTTGCAGGTGATACAGGTTAAGAAACCATATTAGTTAAAACATTTGAATGCAACTAATAATTTGCACGCCAGTCTTATCATTATTAATGAAACACAAACTTCACAAGAGGAAGAGGCTAACAACATGGTTGTAATTTCTTTTATCATTATTAATGAAACACAAACTTCACAAGAGGAAGAGGCTAACAACATGGTTGTAATTTCTTTTAATACAGACTAGTGTTTTAGCCCGTGCTAAGCACGGTCTTACCGCAATTCATCTATATTTCGTCGCGTTTTAATCACTCTCATGCGAATATAATTTTTAATGTCTAATGACTCAACCCCCTTCGAAACACATGAACCCCACTCTCACCCACACCCCCGTTGAGGATAAATATCATGTTTCCGCCAGGACTGACATTAAACAATTTATATAAAGCTATAATTAAAATTAAGTTTATTTAAACTAAATTTTTTATAAGACATGAATAAAATAAAGATAATCAAAATATACTAAATGCAACTTAAAAGAAATTAAGATATAAGGCTGTTTAATGTTCAAAAAACATTATTCGCAAATGATGCGCCACCGAAAAAGTTCTCAATCAATTAAATAGTCATAAGGTGCAATAAACAAAATATATAGAAGAGCTCTAATAATTTATAATTATGTTTTCTTTGTCGTAGTTCTCTTCTTGAAAGTTGAAAGAGCTGATTGTTTGTCTATTTTTGCAAAATAAAAATATGTTTATTTAGTAAACTTAACATTAAAAATTATATATTAAAATTAATTAATATATAAATAATCCAACCTAATTGTATCCTTATTTTTCCACTAGTTGTAGGTAGGATTTTAAAATGCAAAAGAGTCAAGTGTAGCAATAAGCAAAACATCTAAAATCTTCTTTTTGCTTTTACTGTTAGTGGTGGATATCGGTGTGGATAAGTCTAAAGTTAATTCAATAGATTGATTATCAACGGTAACTTCCTGATTCAATTTAATTGGTTTCTCATCCTCTTAGAACAACATGGTAATGATTTAATTTTTGGAATAATGAACTAATATTATATTTAGCAAACACCTTCTTCTTTGAATTTTTATCAGTACTATTTCCAGGTGTCGATAAGTCTGGAGTATATTGAATTGATTGACTATCGTCGCCATCAACCAGCGTCATATCGAGTTCATCATCTGATAAAAATAAATTTAGTATTATAACAATGAATACATTGCATACAATTGAGGAATATAATTTTATTATTAAGATTATGGAAATGTTACTGTAGGTGTTAAAAATTGGCTATGAGTTCCCGCACGCAGCTCGAGACTAAGAGAAAAAAATAAACGTCATTATCCGAATCAAGAAGGATTATCTGATGTTATAGATAAGCTAACAAATACATGAAGTGAGTTGATAAAGCATACAAATCAACGGGATGGTACAATAACAAAGAAGCGACTCGACCTGGGGTTACATTTTACCCACAAAGGAGTAAAAACCACTCATGTTTTGTCATCCCATGGGTGTCTCGCTTATGGGAGGTTGTAGATCTCTTCGTGAGCTTCCTAACGCACCTTGTATCACTTCATTCCGAGATCGTATGAGAGAGTTAAGACCAAAATACCCGAGACCGTTTAGACTATTTTACACCAGCGAGACACAAAGTGTGTCTCGGAGAAGAATGGAGATTTTGATCATGACTCGCTTTGAATCTGAAGAAGCTCAAAAGATAAGAGTTGTAGATCTCTTTGTCAGCTTTCCAACGTATCTTGAATCATCTCATTCTGAGCTCGGACGAGAGAGTTAAGACAAAAATACCCAAGATAGTCCAAGCTATCTCGGACATGTGCGAGACAGTCGAAGTGACTCGCGCCCAAGTTAGCTCCCGACATGTTTTCTGATAAGATTGGCTTTTATAACTCCTTGGGATCATTCATAAACATATGAGTTTATCTTTAAACATGTGAAAATTGTTACATAACCAAAAACCCACCTAAATGGATAATAACGGTTGTTCTTTGATCCTATCCACAAACACAACATTCCTATCCACAACCATGACATTTAAAGCCTATAAATACACCCCTAGCACCCTCATAAAAGGATATCTAAAGAGAGCCACGAATTTGAGAGAGGCTAGCAAGATCTTGGCGAATTCCTATCCATAAAGAGTGGATTTTGAAGGATCTGAGGCCCGTCTCCCTATTCCTTGAGATCAGGTTGGACTTGATCTCGAGAAGAGTAGTGATCTTGCTTGGTCGAGATCATTTACTTCAGCGATTACTTTCTTAGTGAAGTAGGGGCTTTGATCATCAATCTGTCAACCAAATCTGATCCGTAACGGTCCACGAACTAACGCGTCCCCGGCACAGGCGAAGATCCCGCGCAAACAGAGACTAATAAATAGGATCTGTGTGTTGTTTGATAAAGTTGTAGTATTTTATTTTTTATTGTGTAAGAAGATCTTATAAAAAGATCAAATTTTTTATTTTTTGAACTTGTAATCGGTAAACGATTGTAACAGGTTCTATGACAATGAAAAAGCCAACTTTTGAACCAAACAATTACCTTTCCATTAGTTATTAGTAACAACCCATTGAGTTTTTCATTGTCCACATCATCATTAATGATTTTAATAACAGTGTCGTCTTCAATGCATTTACTTGTGTTAGACTCTGTAATATTAACATGGAAATGTATATTTCTACTGATTAATCTCTTGATTGTAAGTAGAATCTTCTTGTTGTCTGCATCCTGTTTAATCATATATATATATATATATATAATATATATATATATATATATATATATATATATATAATATATAGTACATATATATATATTGTAGACGGTAAAAGATTACCCTGGAAGAACCCGAAAGCACGAGATTCGCCTGCATATTCAAGCGCCGGGCCCGCACAGTCTTAGAAACTAAGCTCCACCGACAAAGGCTTGGCTCCGCTACGCAGCGAGGCCCAAGGGCAGCGATCACTAAGATTCACCTACATCGGTTTGAGCATAGGCCCTGCTGCATGAAGCTCGCCTCCCCTGCATGGGTCAAGAGCCAAACTCGCCTGCAAACGGCAAGCTCGCCAAACTCGCCAGAGTACTTGGCAACCGCTATACCATGTACACGGATGGGCCTTCCCACTTCCCACGACGTGAAGGGAAGGAGCACAGTATTGTAGGCTGTCAAAAAATCACAATAGATAGCCGATCCCCATCAAAACACCGATGATGGAAGTTACACTCTGACGACTTCCAGAAGGTTACAATTTGAAGACTTTCACGTAGATTGATGAAGGTTACAATCTGACGACCTTCGCAACAACTGATGAAAGCTCTAATCAACAGCCTTCACAATCAACATCGAGAGTTACAATCTGACGACTCTCACATATCAAAGAGCTAAAGCAAAGATTACAAAACGACGATTTTTGCAATGCTCTGACAGAAAGAGACTACAAATCGACGGTCTCTTCAAACCAAGACGTGGAAGTCCTCCCCGCGTACCAGCATCAAGACGCACCGCGTTCATAGCCACGAACGCAGCTCAGACGCAGCCTCCGAAAGCTGCCAATGCAGCTTCCATCTGCTGCCAAACGCAGCTCACATTCAGCTCCAAACGCTGCAAACGCAGCTTAGATCCAGCTGCCAACGCAGCTCATATTCGGTCACAAACGCGGTCTCCGAAAGCTATCAACGCAGCTTTCATCCGCTGCCAAACGCAGCTTCCAAGCTGCCAAACGCAGCTTTCAACAAGATGTCAACGCAGCTTCCAAATTGCCGCGTCTGAGCTTCCAAACACTGCGTTTGAATGCAGAATTCATGCCAGAACGCGTATTTTACGTTTGACTTGTTCAAACACGAGCTGAACAGTTTCAAAACAGTTTTCCACGATCTGAGGGGATCACAACTCCATTCAGGAGTGATTTAAGGGGTGGTTATATCCCATTAGCCTCACTTATGAGCGAATTAAGGGGGCGGTTACACCTCTTAATCCCTTATAAATAACTGAAAATCAATTCAGTTCAGGGTTCGGTCTGTTGGAACTTCTTGGCAGCAATAGAAGAGATCCTTAAGCAGGCTTTTGAGGAGATTGACGTCATCCCTCAGCAACATTCGACAACATGAGCTTTCTTCATCCTTAGATTATAGACCAATTTCGGTTAAATCAACTCTTTCATAGAGTTTCAAACTCGTTCAGAGTTCTCCACAACGTCAAATCGTGAGGAGAAGATCATGTTCCAATGAAACAAGACATCAGATCGTCAACGAGAAGCAAACTCGACGCGAACATTCGAGGGAGGCATCTCATCGCTACCGTGAAGAACCCAGATTTAAACAAAGGAGATGATTCAGATCAATCCTCTTCTCTTTTGTAATCAGGAAATCCAATTGTAATTGAGATTAAAGGAATACAAATCAATTTTCCTTCGTTTCTTTTACTGCAAATTTTCCACAAACAAAAGATGACGACTCTGCTGGGGAAATTGCTTCTCTGATGAAGAAGTGGTGGTGCAATCCGATGTTCATCTCACTGGAACAACCGTCGAAACTCTCGTGGATCCGGATCCCTTAGCCCCAAGGCTATGTGCAAGATCCGCAAAGTCTTCAAGGAGACTAAAGCTCCAGTTATGGCCGACTCGTTGAAGGACTGTCTCCCTTGGGGGTTGCATTGTTCATACAGTCCCCTCTCTGAAGGAGAAGACTTAGCTTCGACACAACTCCAAAATAGCCGATCCTCCAATCAACGCGAGCTCCGCGTTTGTGAGCCTCAACACGAGCT